ATTTTTTTAAAATTCCAGCCAACAGGAGACACAGTTCTAGATGCTGACCCATTATGGATCTTATTCAGGTAAGTAAAAGTGATATACATATGGTCGGATAAAGTCTCCATATCACTCATTACTCGCCAATCATCTATATCCTTAAACATACTATGCGAGGCCCATGTGAGATCCACAACTGATTCACCTTGCGGACGAACGCAAGTCGGCGAATCACCTACATTAACCAAGAACAAACCGTTTGATGATGTTACAAGGTTGACCAGTGTACCCCTTCTATCGGTGGTTTTGGATCCCCAAAGATACGACCTAGCATTGAAGTCTCCACAAACAAGGACTTTTTTGTAACGTAATCGTTTGATGGTATCATCCAGATTATCAATGAAATCACCAAAGACATCTCTCGAGCTATTAGGTGATATATAGCAAGACACAATATAAAAATCATTATATTCCACAACGACAATATTTTCGAGGGCTACAAATAGTCTGCTTCTAATACTAGTGTCAGGAAACAGCATCACAGCAGCCAGTGCATCCTTACTATAAAAGCAATTTGCAAGTATATTAGTTCCAACAGGAGGCTCCGAAATAGCCACTAGATCAATATTTAGCTCAATGCACTGCTGGCGTAGCAAATCAAATGCCAGCCAGGACCTATTAAGGTTACATTGCAGAATTTTAGTGGCCATAATTATGAGACTGCTCGGATTGTCCACGATCCACCCGTCTCACAGATTCGTAGCCATTGTTTATGAGGCAAGCATATGATCCCATACGGTGACTGCTAGTTTTCCCTGCAGATGAACAGATGACGCAGTGTGGGGCAGCAGAACACTCCTTAGCCTTGTGCTCATTGCTACCACATTTAAAACAACAACCGTATCTATCCTCCGAGGCAGCACAATTGGACCTGACGTGCCCAAATTGCCAACACTTGTAACACTGAACAGGGCGCTTTCTCAATAGTTCAATTTTCGCAAAAGTCCATCCAATGCGCAATCGGCCAGTTTCCGCAATAGGAATTGCCGCGTTTAGGGGGCACTGAACCCACGCAATTCCCATACCATCCCGCATCTTTTTAATGTCACTTATATTAAAAGCCATTGATGTAAAACCACTAATTTGAACCAGGTGATCCCTAATCTCCTCCGTGGAAGTAGAAGGAGCGAGACCAGAAATTTTCAGTTCTCCTCGCGCAACAGGATTATCCACCTTGGCCACATCGCGTAGCACAACCTCTAATCTGTCTTTGAGCTTACCAGCCAATTCAAGGCCTCCTTCACCAGGGACCTCGATCTTATATCCGCCATTAAAGGCTTTACGGATCCTGGTTTTGCTAATTCCCAGGCCTTCAAGAGACACATTCTGCCTTGCGGCTTTAAGAATATCCGCACATGAGGTATCTACACCAGGCTTACAAGTAATGGTGACAACGGCCACCTTACGCTTACCTACTTTAGGTTTATTAACACTAACCTTACTACTTTTGTTAATAGGTCAAATCCCGGATGTGCCATCGTGAGATCCACCAGAACTCTGACGTATCACAGAAGAAGGAGAAGGAAGAGAAGGAAAATCCTCCTCTTTCCTAGCCATCGACATCCTTGGAGTGGGTTGACTCCTTATCTTCCTCGGCGGGACAACCTGCTTGTTCTCAATTATCTTAATACCCTTGAGTCTCGGGTTACTCATAGGGGGGTGAAAAATCTTGTCGTCCTCAATTGCTCTTTTATCAACACCTGTATTACGAAAAACCCTAGATGTAATGTAAGTCTTTTCACATAGGTTAGCAGATCTGGGCGGGCTCCAGGCCGACCCAGCCGACTCCAAGGCCCATTCCATAGCATCACGAACAATCTTGGATTCATCATCACGAGAAGTAGCAGGGGACTGAGCAACCATACTGGATTCATCATCACTCTAATCCGTGGTAAGTATCTTATTTCTATCTACTTTTTTAGATCTCAATATATCCTCACCTCTATTTTTACTCTTAAGCAAATTTACTTCTTTTTTAAGTTCATCAATCATATCTCTATGTTGTTTTAATTGCATCTTTATTTCTTCTTCGCGTCTACAGGATTCTGTTATTTCTTCCATTAATTCTTCATTTTTACAACGCAGATGGGCTACATCGCCCTGAGCCTGTATCTTATGACCATATGCCCTGACAACATCCTCCAGCTGCATCATGTATTTTCGCCATAAGCCGTTAAACTTACCGGAAACGTTCGTACTATTTACTCGCAGGCTATCTGTTTTGCTGATCAAGGACAGACCATACGACGCCACCTGTCCATTACTCATAGCAACTAAATCTCTTACCTTTATCCTAATGGAAACATCTGAATCACATGTAAACATGGAATCAGACGCATCCAAGTCAACGTTCGGACTTTTTTCTTTACTTGACCTTAACCTAGCAGTCAAAGTACTTTTCTTTTTGTTCTTGGTTAGTTTCCTGGGCACATCAGTTCCTTCACCAGCAGATATATCCAATGCCGCCACAACATCATTATCATCATCAGATATAATCACAGGGCTCGACTCAAGTATAATTTCCTTGTCACCCGCTGCAGCAATTCTTTTACTTTGCCTCCTAGCCTTGATATTGCTCCTCCTCTTTCGTAAAACTCTATCCTCATCATCAGCATCTTCATCCGCATCCTTGCTAGTAGAGGGTACAGCATGATCATCCTCTTTTTCATTTGAATCCTGTTCAGAACTATCAATCAGTCTGATTTTACGAATCCTTTTATCAGTTGTAATTGTGTCATCTTCCGGCGATCCATCAGCCTTTCGCTTAGAGACAGTATATTCAGCTGACGCAACACAATTATCTGCCTCAATAGAGGGTGATTTAAACTTGTCACCAACAATTTCTAATGACTCACTTCTAGCAACGTTCAAAGGATCGCTATTTGGATCGTCACACTCAGGAGGGTCGCATGGGGCATCAACATCCGCCATAACAACCTCCATGTGTTCATAGTTGACTTCACCAGGAAGATTATCTAAATCCGTGGTCGCTATATCAACCTGCTCGCCCAACGGCAACGAGCAGGCCAGCCCCTTGTTTGATGACGACAAGGCGGAGCCGGGGACAACAACTCCGCCATGCCGATCGCTGGAGGCTCCGACAACCTCCTGCGACAGTAAGTTCATTTCATTTACCGTTGTGTTTGCCATGTTTTCATATAAAGGATTTGGTTTTTCCAAGAGTGTCCTTCCCTTGTGATCATGAACCATAGGATTACCAAGTTGACTTAAGTATAATCCATCCAGCGTATTTCTATCTTCATAAATCATTGAGGAGGAAATTGCATAAAATTCCTCACTCAGCTTTTCCAACTCAGCTTTCTTGTCACTAATAGAGTGACCTACATGTATTAAAGCGTCTTCCGTTTTGTTCATCTGTATCATCCTAGCCAAATCCGTAAGCTGAGATTCCACCGAATCAATCATAGATTGACTTAAAGGAGCCATCTCGCTCAGGCCAGATGAAGTATTGTTTAGTCTGCGCATGCTCACCTCTTTAACATCAGTGTTTGGAGGAGAAACCATCCGGACAGTATTGTCAAAGTTCATATCTTTAAAAAGTGATTCGTACCTAGCAACTCTACCCAAAAGATACGACCGGGCACAAACATTTTATAACCTTGACTGTATATGCTTTTAATGCATGCTTCAATATTATTGAGCTCTACATATAGCTCCGAGCGATTTGGGAGACTACTATTACGCAATCTATTAATGGAGCCTAATGCACACCCTAAAAACATCGTAGGTGTGAAAGAGGCCTCATTCAGCCGTGCTATTATATCGTCAACTGACTCCATTTTAGTAAATGTATGTATATATAATACTAATCAACGCAATGTAATGTCAGTAATGTGAAAAATGTTTTAATTGATAATCTGCAAAAATTCCATTAATGTTACTAACACAACAACCAGGATCAATGCAGTAATTCAACTCATTTATCAAATATTATTAATTAATAGCGTGTAACACAAACAGCAATCTTCCAGACCTCAAAGTTACTTGAGGAGGAGATGCCGCAATATCTGTAGAGATGTTTCTCGACGCTTATAGTATCATAAATCGCTTACGTTCACCTATTGATTAAAACAGAACGCAAGCAATAACAACATCAGTCACTCAATATACGCTACCAATACTCTTCTATGTCATTAGTCCAATTATGCATAAAATACACACAAAGTACAAAGTATATATTTGATTTAGTAAATTTTACCAAATTGTTCAATAGTCAATGTCTTTTTGTTTAAATAACACCTTATTATTTAATAAATAAGAGAGAAACTTAAAATTGTCCAATTTATCAAGTCTCCCCTATATCTAGTAACTTTAGTAACGCGAAGAGGCATATCAAGTTTCACATCTATATCATAATCACTCAATATACGCTACCAATACTGTCATACATCAATAGTCCAGTTATATATAAAAGTACAAACAAAATACAAGATATATATTTAATTTAATAAATTTTACCAAATTATTCAATAAACAGTGTCTTTTTGTTTAAATAGCACCCCATTATTGAGCGATTAAGAGAGAAACTTAAAACTGTCCAACTATGAGGTCTCCTCTATATCTAGTAATTTTAACGCGAAGAGGCACATCGAGTTTCATATCTATATTATAATACAATCACTCAATATACGCTGCCAATACTTTCATATATCAATAGTCCAGTTATATATAAAAGTACACACAAAGTACAAAATATATATTTAATTTAGTAAAGTTTACCAAATTGTTCAATAAACAATGTCTTTTTGTTTAAATAACACCTTATTATTCAATAAATAAGAGAGAAATTCGAATCTGTCCAATTTTCAAGTTTCCCCTATATCTAGTAACTTTTATAACGCGAAGAGGCACATCGAGTTTCACATCTATATCACAGTTCATGATTGTTTGGAACTTTGGCAACCGAGTACAGCCATTCACTCAGAGATGGCGCGTCGATGTCCCTTTGCATCTTAAACTCAATTTCCCGAGAGAAAACATTCTCCGAGAGAGACATAACCCCAATTGTTACAATGTCATTTTGACAACACAAGCAGTCAGATATGTATGTATCACAATTCAAGGTTTATAAATTACGTCAAACAGTCTAAAGCAGGTATATAATAATAAAAATATTAATAAATCATATTTAATTGAATAGATATTTAATATCTATAAATATTGTTATCAGAAGAGAATCATGTAACAATAATCATTTATATATGTTTATCATATGCATTTCCTAGGATTCAGATGCATATTTAGGATGCAATGACAAGGGAAGCATCCCATCCATATGCCATAAGGACAGCTCATATAACCTCAAAGAGGACATCACTCACCGCCGCAATACTAATGTCAAAAGTCTGTTATTACAGGAAAGATTATAAATTTTTGTATATTCAAGATGTATGCACAGAATGATATAAATTCTAATTAGAAGGTATTAACTTTGCATCAGGTAATTATTATAATTGACATCATGCTAAAAACAACTTTTAGCTTCCAATATCATATAGTTACGTAGTTTAGTATATGTAATTACTATTATTGATAGAGAGTCATTTATTATTTAATTATTTATTTAATTATATGTTTACCATGCACGCACCAAGAGTCAAAAGCATGGAATATCACTGGTTAGCTCGACAAGAGAAAAAGTCACAAAATTAATAGCACTGAGATATAAAACGTAATTACAGAAAATATTACTCAAGAGTTAATGTGTATTTAATAATTGTTATAATTATCAAATTGTCTTTTACTATATGTATTAAACGTATTACCCCGAAAAAAGCTTTATTAAGACTATTATTAACGTTAAACTAAATATTAAAGTTTATAATATCTAAAGATATAGCTTATAGTCATTGTACAATTAAAGGCAACTTCTGTGTATCTCAGCACATATTTCTTTTTGTTCACTACACATATAACTAATTATTCCACTTATCTTAGGTGATGACAGCATCCTCCCCCCTGGCTGTCACACGGTGTGTTACGCGGATGACACACTGGTGATGGTCGGGGGGACCTCGTGGGAAGACGCGACCGCTCGGACGAACATAGCGATCAACCGCGTCGTGCGCTACGTAAGGAGGATGGGACTCAAAGTGGCGCCCCAGAAAACCGAGGCCATCTTTTTGCATGATGGCTCTCACGGGGCGCCGCCGAGAGTCCACATCACAGTGGAGGACACCCCAATAGAGGTTGGGGCCTGCATGAAATATCTGAGCCTCCACCTTGACAATAAGTGGACCTTCCAAGAACACTTCCGCCGCATATCCCCCAAAGTGAAGAGGGCAGCAATGGCACTACAACGCCTGCTGCCCAATCTTGGGGGACCTGGCGGAAGTGTAAGGAAGTTGTACGCCGGGACTGTACACGCTATGCTGCTGTACGGGGCCCCAGTATGGTCGAAATGCCTGGGGGCTGCCCGCGGTCCCAGAGATGCACTGAGACAGGTGCAGAAGCGGGTAGCCAACAGGATATGCAGGGGCTACCGTACGGTCAGCTGGGCGGCGACGGGGGTGCTCTCCGGAGTGCCCCCCGTTGAGATGCTCGCCCGCATGTATGCTGAGGTGTACACGCGCACGCGTGGATACCAGCGGGCGGGCATCACTATGACGGAAAGTCTCCGGCGTACTGTGAGGGTCCACTCCCGACGGGCGCTGATCCAAAGTTGGAAGGAATTCCTGGCGGACCCAACACTGCCAGGACAGCGCACCGTCGGGGCCATACGGCCCTGTCTAGAAAACTGGCTAGACAGGGCCAAAGGTGGGGTGTCCTACCACATGACGCAGGTGCTCACCGGACATGGGTGTTTTGGTGAGTACCTGCACAGGATTGGTAAAGAGCGCACGACGCGGTGCCATCACTGCGGCCACGAGCGCGACACCGCCCAGCATACACTCGCTGAGTGTGTTGCCTGGGCGGGAGAGAGAGAGAGGCTCGTGGCCGCGGTGGGGAGGGATCTGTCATTGCCCTCGGTAGTGAGGGCAATGACAGACAATGAGGACGCATGGAGGACGTTCTCCTCCTTCTGCGGCGAAGTCATGCTGCAGAAGGAGGAGGCGGAGAGGGAGAGAGAGAGAATGGGGGAGGAGAGAGAGGAGGAAGGCGGGGACGTCCCCCCTCTTTCCCCGGCATCGGCGGGTCCGCTTGTTTGTGGCGCCGGGGATCGGAGAGGGGGCGCCCCTGGTGGGCGTGGAAGAAAGGGAGGAAGAAGAAGAAGAAACCAAACAGACGGGGGGGTGTGCCTCCTTCCCCTCCTCCGCCGTCGGCGGGTCCGCCCGCCGGGGGTGGTGGGGACCGGGGGGGGTACGACCTCCAAAGGAGGAACGCACCCATGGGAGGAGGGGCCGGGCCCTCTCTTTCCGCGCCGCCGATGGGCTTGCCCGTTTGTAACGGCGTGGATCGGGGGGGGGGGGTCCGTCTCAAACATACCCGCGTCAATAATTGACGCGGGATGAGGGTTCCGGGGGGGGGCGGGGACAACTAAGTCCCAAGGGCCCTCCCCCCCGGGAGCCTCACGCGGGCCGGGCGCGTGGGTGCGTCACTCCACTATGGGGGGGCGCTCTATGTGCCCGGCTAGGGCAAACCCCTCCGGCCACGGCCGATCCCTGGCTCTCAAAGGAGCGAGGGGGGGGGACGCGGCTGGGGGGCCGGGGGGGGGCCACGCGTCCCCGACGGGCAGGCGCTGTCTGTCAGGCCGGGGCGCCTGGGTCCCCCTCTGTGAAGACGTGATGCGCGGGGCCCTCCCGCCGAAAGCCAGGAGGCACCGGCGGGAGGGCAACGCCGTCCACGGAAAGGGGTTCCTCTCCTTCAGAGAGGAGCCCTCTGGTGAGGGCTCCCCTGGTGGAACGCCGAACCGGGTCACCCTCTAGGGAGTCCGGGGGTCGCGACCACCGGGGAGGCGGGGGGCGATGGCTCGAGTGGGAGTTCTCGAGCCATGGCTCCGCCCCCCAAACTCTTTGGGAGGGCGCGGTGTGGGGTCGGTGTCGCCCTGCGCCGCAACCGGGACGGAACCGCGCAGTCATTGACTGCGCGGTCGGGGAGGGGTCTTGGCCGCAAGGCTAAGGCAGCTCTCCGGAGATGGCTTGGCGGGGGAGCGGCGGGACGGCATGGGATTTCAGCATCCTCGCCGTCCTCTATCCAACGCCCGAGATGGACACCCGCTGGGGTTTTAGTGAGGTAGGTCTTGGGCCCCCTGGTCGAACCATTCGTGGCTCGACCAAGGGAAACAAGGAGTCCCACATAACCCACACCCCTACCCGGGGGTGTGTGGTAGCATGACCGTTTCCCCAGCGTCACAAAAAAAAAGGTGATGACAGCATCCGGATGGAAGTGTCCCACAAAGAATTCTCAGGAGTCTCTAAAGAATCCCCAGGAACATGATACAGTCAGTAGGAAGCCAATTGCCAACGCAGGTCTAGAAACATCCGCAGAGCATTTCTCCAACTTAAGGCGATGTATGCACATTCATCAAAGCACCAAAATTTACACATTTATAATTGTGAGTTTATTTGATTTGGCGTTAATTAACTATTTGTATCTTGAGTAACACACTATTATAAAGTTACCTAATTTAAATGATATATTAAATTAACTTTATCTTAGTCTCAAATAGTTTCAAATTTCAATATTATCATATTATTAAGATCAATCATTAGTGTTTGAAAGAATTGAAATAAATGTAATTGTCACAATAATTTAGATAGTAGATCACTTTAATTTTGACAAAATAATAATAATCAATTATTAGATTAAATTAATACAATTGTCGCTCGTATATTGAAAACAAAGTGATAAATATAAGGCCAACTTATCGAGCTGAATATTCGAGATGTTCAGTCAACTACCATTTATTACATGTATAAATTATAAAACTACAGTCATTATATTAAAACTAACGCAAATTACAATCATTCTATAAACGTTTCGACCGCACGCGGTCTTCTTCAGTATAATTATTGAAATATAAATTCTTACAATTCACATAATATCGAAATTTAATTATAGTTATTCAGAATCAAGAGTTTTTGAGCAATTAACGCGTGTTTCAATCCGTCCTGTCCAACAATGTTCGCCTCGATATGATCCCTGATTTTGTTCAGATCTCGGATAGTTTCATCGTTAATATGCGAGAAATTAACCCGTTCCGTAGGCGCTGCGATTAATAAAAAATTACCGATCAACGTATGTCCAAATTATAATATGTATCCCCTACAATTGGTAGTATGCTTACCTATCATCGTTCTTCTTGACAATTTTGCTACTTATTAACAGTTATTAAGGATGACACATAACAAACCAACAATACAGAAAGACAGCTCATTTTAAACTCTACTTGATCGGAGAGCGTGCGTGTTTATATATGATCTAATATCTATGTTTTACTCGTTAATGTCCTATTTGTCCTATTATTATTTCTTGTTCGCTAATATATCCAAAATATCAAAATACGACTCGCTAAGTAACTCAGTATCTTTGTTTAAATTTAGTCCATTTTTTTGTTCCTTGATATGTAGCATCTCAGAAATGAGTCTTTTATAATAATTATTTTCGTTGTCCATGATCTTAACATTGTCCCAATTAAAAGTATGATGTTCATTTATTATGTGTTCAGAAATTACTGAATGTTTCGTTGAGTCCAATCTAATATTATTTTTATGTTCTTTCATTCGCGTCTGCAATTGCCTCTTTGTTTGGCCTACATAAGATGCATTACAATTATTGCAACTGATCTTATAAACCACATTCGAATTGCATGGATGTTTAGTTTTATCTTTCTGCGCTTTAATAATATTATCCAGTTTGTTGAGACATCTATACCCTACCATACAATTTTTATTTTTTACCGAGGAAACAATCATTTCTGAGATCCCATCTATATACGGAATGACAAAGAATTTTTTATTGACCGAGTCATTTCCTATACTTTTTGTTCTTTCTATGTTGGCCTGTCTCTCTATAATGCTCCCCTTAGATATGATGTGTTCTATCCGATGATTAATTTTGTTAAAAATCAGATCAAGAGGGTAACCATTGCTTCTGAGTATATTAATAATTAACTCCAAATTTTTATTAAAAAATAGTGGATGTGATAGCAATAGACATCTGTCTACAAGGTTATATATTATTCCAATTTTGTGGCATAATGGGTGGTTTGAATAAAATGATAACGTCCTTCCTGAGAAGGTTTCTTTTTGATACCAGTCTATATATATTTTGTTATTAATAATTTTAAGTGATAAATCTAAGAAATTCAAGCTATGGTTAACCTCTTGTTCGACCGTGAATTTAAGTCTTTCATGATAGTTGTTAAAATTATTCACAATCTGAGTCATATTAGTCATAGAGGTGGCCACTATTATGTCATCCACATAACGAAAATAAAACAAACATTCCAAATTCAACGCTTTGAGAACTGTATCCTCAAGATCTTGCATAACCAGGTCTGCAATAATTGGTGATAACGGTGACCCCATAGGGGTCCCAAACGTCTGTTTATAAATTATGTCATCAAATGTAAAATATGTAGAAGTCAATATGAATTTTATACCCCCAAAAATTCGTTTTTCGGTATTTTAGTATTTATTCCAATGTAATCCCATCTATCGTTAATACCGTCAATCGCAAGATCCAGAGGAACGTTCGTAAACAAAGACACCACATCCAAGGAAAACATCCTATCATTCTCATCAATCTTTTTACCAGACAATATGCTGTACAAATCAAAACTATTATTAATATGACTTTTCGCTTTGGGTAGGCTAGTTTGTAAGGTGTTTTGTAAAAACGAAGCCAGCGAGTATAGAGCTGTATCAACCGATGAAACTATGATTCTAACTGGATAGTTTTCCTTATGGATTTTAGGTAATCCATACGCTTTTGGAAGGAGAGAATCACTACAACGTAATTTATAATATTCGTTTTTTGAAATATAATCTTCCTTAAGCCATCTCTTCAACAAATCATTCAAATCGTTCTCTATTTTTTTGCACGGATTTTTTTTAACAATTATTAGATTATTCAAGATTGTCATATAAGTATGTTTATAACTTAGTATAAGTACTAAGTACTAAAATGTTTTAGATAACGTCAATATATATTTATCCATTGTTAATAATGGACAAATCATCATCATCTCATCACGATGCTACACAGTAAGGTCATAACTGACCCTAAATGACAAAAAACGTCTGAAATATGCAAGGATGAAATCAATCAACACATACGTTCTATATATGTATATGTGTGTAAGTATAAAATCTTTATACCTAAGTTCACTATTTTATCACCAAAAACTGAAAGTCACATGTAATTGTCTAGCTTAGAGATAAGGTACTAAATATTTGAATTTCCTGCTAATTACAGAATTACTGAAGATCATCTTATCAAGACTAATCAGCAAATTATAGTGTACAAAAGGATCAGATTAGTATATCACAATATAATTAGTTAATATTTCACTACAATTCTGACACAATAATCTTTTAATATTTGAGTATTCAACTATTATCATATAAGTCTATGAAAAGTCTGTCCATGATATAACACAAGTACTAAATACTAGATAATAAGTATTTAACTTATGTCCATATATATTCAATGCTCATTTAAGACCTAATAAGCAAATTCATTGTCCCCTCCAAGTCCTGCACAAAAAGACTATCAAACTGACCTTTAATGCAAGAGTCTAGTATCTAATTAATAATCCATAAGATTACTATTGTCTTTACAATATGAAAATGTATTTCACCATCACAGGCTATATTAACCTGTTATAACGATATCTAAATATTAAAGTTTATTAACAATATTCAAATATTGAAATTTACGATATCTAAAACAAGGATCTTTTAGTCATTGACAACTTGTATAGTGAAATAACTTTGCATATCTCAGCACATATTTCTACTTATTCACTACACACAATAACAATTGTTTCACTTATCTAGGTGATGACAACAACCAGATGGTAAATCGCCAGAAGTCTAATAAATCTCAGGAGCATTATACAAGCCATGAGTGATCATGATTTCCAAGAGGTCCATATCCACAACGTATTTCACCGACTTAAGATAATATATGCATATATATCAAAACACCAGTATGCACATATTAATTATTTTCATAACTGTAAGTCTACTGCATTAGCGTTCATTATTTATGTCTTGGATTATTATTAATAGAATAATACAATACAATGATTATTTCTTGTAACACATCACAGTGCAAATGTAAAAGTGGAAGAAAGACACCATTATTTTACTACTATTTCACATCTTATTGATTATCATTAATTAATTAACTAAAAGTCTAATCAATTTAAGTCACATACTAATCAGATATGTATATTTCAGTAAGTCTTTAATTTAGATGTTAAAAGAAAGTCACAGCTTTTTAGCCAGTACACTTATACATTCAAAGTAGTCTTTGTATCCAAAATTAGTTCATTAAATATTTAATAATAGTAATAGAATAATACAATGATTATTCATTATATCACAACACAGTATAGATGTAAAATAGAAAAAGTCACAACCATCTTATTATTATTACACAGTTTATTGTTTATCGTTACCTAATTAACTAAAGTCTATATAATTTAAAGTTAAATACTAATTCAATTTGTTTATTTCAGCAAATTCTGAAGAGAACGTGTTATATTGCAACAACAACCTCCTACATATGAGTCTTATTTCACTTGGAATACAGAATTTCATTTATCCGAACAGAACAATGATCAAGCTAAGTTTTCCATCACACTCCACATATAATTTTAACCAGAATTAGTTATATATAACATATCTGATATCAATAATACTGAATTAATGAAATAACGAAACTAATTGTTCAGTGATATTAACAATAGAATAATATAATAATTATTCCCTGTAACACATCACAGTTCAAATACAGAAGTAGAAGAAAAAGTCACAGCCATTTTACTACTAATTCACAGTTTATTAATTATCATTAATTAACAAACTAGAAGTCTATTCAATTTTAAAGACAGATACTAATCCGATTTATATATTTCAGTAAATCCTGAAGAGAGCATGTTGTATTGCAATTACAACTTTCAATGTTTAGATTAAAGGAAAGTCACAGTTATTTTGGTCGAAACATTATTCAATCAGTGCAGTCTTATATCCGAAATCAGACCATTAAATACAATAATAATGATTATTTATTATAACACATCACAATGCAGATGCAAAATAGAAGAAAGTCACGACTGTATTATTATTATTTCACAACTTATTGTTTATCATTGACTAATTAATTAAAATCTATTCAATTTAAAGTCAGATACTAATTTAACTGGTCTATTTCAGTAAGTTCGATATACCTAGTATTGTTAATATTAAATCATGTCCACAAGAAGTTCATCATACAGCAAATAACTATTTAACACCATATTCCAAATTAGAATAATAATATTGTTTTATTCAACAGGGTCCCATTCAGAGTCTAAAGATGACATCAGAGCAATCATCATCAATTTTAATACATCCGACTTAACGAAATACATATACCGTATAAATATACACATATGTAAATCTTGGAGTACGTAAACTATTATGTATTTTAGCATAATATTCTAACTACAAAAGATTAATGTAGTGAAAAGAACTGAATTAACACTAAAATTCCTTCTCTTATTTCAGATGAAAAGCGACAATATCCTCCTCCAGAAGAGCAACAAATATGACAGAAGCACTAATAGGACTTATCATTAGAAAGTTTCTTATACGATTATCAATCCAGACTAATTGAAGTAATTAATGCATATCAATGTCTATTATCACATTAATAATAAAGTCACTAATTATCAGACCAATAACTAATTGTTAAACCAATAACTATTTAATTAACCTAGTATTCTTATAAGGTATTCATATTCCTTAATTTGTCCATAAATCTTATATCTTATTAATTAATAATTAATATGGTCACTCATAACTGTGTCACTGATATTATTCAGTTGTTATATAAATCAAATTTCCGCGGTTTATTATAATGACCAATGACAGATTGACAGCAAGTATAAGCCAAGCTGCTAACCCACTTGAGCACGCGCGCACTGCGCAAAGCATGTGCGCCACGATGATCGACTGCCACGTGTTAATTACTTCAATACGCTTAATTAAGTCAAAATGTCAAAAATTTAATATAGTTCACCTAAAAGTATTTATATAATTATAAATCTATTGAACAGAAGGCATAGGAAGGCACTTATTATAACTTATCAAATATTTAAAAGTCAGAATTTAAATGAAATTTACTATAAGTTACAGCAAAAATAGTTCTTTATAATAATAAAAAATATAATCTTCTCAAAAATTATGTTTATAGCCAAAATAATTCTTTGCAAAAATTAATCATTATCAAAAATATTTTCTCAAAAATTATATTTATAAATTATATTTTATTTTTGTTAATAATACTAGAAAAAAATTAAAATATTAGCATCAAAAAGTAGTGAAATCAAAAAATTGCGCTAAATAATTATATTGATAATACGAGAAAAAAGGTTAAAATATTAGCATCAAAAAGTAGTCAAATCAAAAAGTTGCACTAAGTAAGTGACAACATAATATATAATATTTAGATAAATTTCCTATAATGATACAAATGTATAATTATTGCTTTATTTTAAAACGTTTATAATATATACAATAACAAAATAAATTCAGTAAAATATATATATATATATATATATATATTCATCTTTACATTTAAATAACATGAATAATTATGTAATTAATTTAAACTGGAATGTATATACATTGTAAAGTTATTATATATTTTTATAAAATATTTAGATAAATAGATATATATAATAAAATAAATTATTTATCTCTAAATAATTATTTAATTCAAATATATTTAAACGTATATTCAAAAAAGGTAATATAAGGCACAAAGAATTAAATTTAGAAAATTAAAAAAATTTAAAGTTAAATAAAAATTTTTAATTTAAATTAAAAAATAAAAGTAAAAAAAATGTAATGTACAAAAAATACTTAGCGCTGTTTTTGTATTATAGCCCTTTGACTACGAAACGTCCTTAAAAATGATGATTAGTAACGAAATGTGTATATACAGAATATATCACACACAGAAGTCGCATCCTATCTTTGGAGAGTGAAATGATGAAGTCAAAATAAGTCAAAATTAAAGAATCATGAAATTATATGTGAACCTTTTTTATAAAAAAATTCATAATGAAAATAATGCGCTTTAAACATCTATCTCGAAACTTTGATTGCGATCAGGAAAACATTGCAAATGCTTTAAAACATGTATCAGGATAAAGAAATTTTTATTCATTTATATTTTGATTGATCAATTAAACACTTTGAAATGCTCCATATACATTAATTAATATATGTATACATCAGGGTTGGGAAAGTTACTTTGTAAAAGTAACTAGTTACAGTTACAGTTATTTCATTGAAAAAATAACTAGTTACAGTTACAAGTTACCGATTTTAAAAAATAACTTGTTACAGTTACAGTTACTCTAAAAGTAACGAGTCGTTACTTTTCAGTTACTTTTTAAAAATAATTATACATTGTTTTAAATATAAGGAGCTTACATTTTATGCACACAATTACAGTCAAGTATTTAAAAAAATTCTTGAATGTAATATTGATCGATTTGCTTGCGACTTTGCAATTAACATCAATGTATGAATGATCTTTATATACAACAGTAAAAATAGTTATAGTAAGTTACTAAATGGTAATCGCAAAGTCGCAAGCAAATCGATCAATTATTACCTTAAGAATTTTTTTAAATATTTGACTGTGATTGGTCGATCTTAATTATGTGTTATATTATTTTATGTACACAAAATGAAAATTTTAGGTAAAAGATTAAATCATATAAAGATCCATATGCTACTGTTATCAAAATTTAATTTAATAATATAACGGCTACCATACTTAAACAATACTTTTAGCGCATGTTTCCAAAAAAAGTAACTAATAAAGTAACTATTAAAATAGTTACTAGTTACTAAAAAAATGTAACTAAGTTACAGTTACAGTTACAGATGGAGAAAAGTAACGAAGTTAAGTTACAGTTACCGAAAAAAAGTAACTGTAACTGTAACTTCGTTACAAGTAACTCGTTACTTCCCAACCCTGGTATACATATATTAATAACATATATATGTATATGTATACGTCTTTAGCATATATTAATGTATAGTAAATTCATTTTTATAATTTTCACTTAGCCCATTCACATTGCCCAATCGTTGAATCTGTTTAATATGACAATTATTGCATGTTACATTATATACATATATTTCATACATGTATATCAATATGTTCAGCTAGCCACATGTCATTCGAATATCGAGCCACGTAATATGTTTATAGATTTCTATTGAAGCGTATTGCAGTAAAAAAATTAGTCTATACTTTGATTTATATTTTATTTTATTTACTAATGTGTTAAAATAACAATACAAAAACAGCGCTAAGTATTTTTTGTACATTACATTTTTTTACTTTTATTTTTTAATTTAAATTAAAAATTTTTATTTAACTTTAAATTTTTTTAATTTCCTAAATTTAATTCTTTGTGCCTTATATTACCTTTTTTGAATATACGTTTAAATATATTTGAATTAAATAATTATTTAGAGATAAATAATTTATTTTATTATATATATCTATTTATCTAAATATTTTATAAAAATATATAATAACTTTACAATGTATATACATTCCAGTTTAAATTAATTACATAATTATTCATGTTATTTAAATGTAAAGATGAATATATATATATATATATATATATATTTTACTGAATTTATTTTGTTATTGTATATATTATAAACGTTTTAAAATAAAGCAATAATTATACATTTGTATCATTATAGGAAATTTATCTAAATATTATATATTATGTTGTCACTTACTTAGTGCAACTTTTTGATTTGACTACTTTTTGATGCTAATATTTTAACCTTTTTTCTCGTATTATCAATATAATTATTTAGCGCAATTTTTTGATTTCACTACTTTTTGATGCTAATATTTTAATTTTTTTCTAGTATTATTAACAAAAATAAAATATAATTTATAAATATAATTTTTGAGAAAATATTTTTGATAATGATTAATTTTTGCAAAGAATTATTTTGGCTATAAACATAATTTTTGAGAAGATTATATTTTTTATTATTATAAAGAACTATTTTTTTGCTGGCGAAAGATATAACAGCGCTTTTTTTTACATCTGTGATGTCTTTTTTTGTGAGATTTCACATATTTTTGCAAAGATCATTAAACAAAATGCATTAAATAAATGTATATTTTTTTATATTTATAATATTAATGTAAATATATTAAAAGTTATATGAATAATAATAGTAGTATTAGTTGTAATAGTAATAGTAGTAATAGTAATAGTAGTAAAAGTAATAATAATAATAATAATAATAATAATAATAATAATAATAATAATAATAATAGTAATAATAATAGTAATAATAATAATAATATAATAATTATAATAATAATGTCAATTCATATAGTAATTTTTTATTATTATATGGCGGCCACTGCGACCACCGCGGCCACCGCGACCACCGCGGCCACCGTGACTGCCGCGTCCGCGACCACGGCCATAAAAATGCCCTCCTCTTTGGCTATACCATCGAGCCCTCGCTCGCCCGGCTTCTCGTCTATATCTGAATAAATCTGAAATATAGTAGTAAAATTGTATATATTACATGTATACGTGTGTGTGTGTTTAGAAAAAAATTATAGACAACACGTACTTTCATTGTACAACTGCGGCTGCGACTGCGGCTGCGACTGCGGCTGCGACTGCGGCTGCGACTGCGGCTGCGATTGCGGCTGCGACTGCGACTGCGGCTGCGATTGCGGCTGCGACTGCGACTGCGGCTGTTGCTGCGGTTGCTGTTGCGATTGCTGCTGCGGTTGCTGTTGCGGTTGCTGCTGCGGTTGTTGTTGCGGTTGCTGTTGCTGCTGCGGTTGCTGTTGTTGTAGCTGCTGTGGAGCAATGCTATCGCCTGCATCTCTCGCCGCGCTTGTCGCTGCTCCTCCAGCATTTGCCGGAGAATGAGCAGCATCGGCTCTTCGTCCGTCTCCATTAGTAAATCATCTGATTTTTCTGAAAAAAATATGATAATTTTATATAAATAATTCTATTTAAAAAAGATGTACGGCAAGATAAAAAAGTGATTAATTATAATTATTATACAAAATTAATAATAAATTATACTTACGAGACATATTTATGCGTTGCTACCTTAATCGTAGTAAACAAAGTGAATTTGAATCAAAATGTAATGCCCGCTACCTTTTAAAAGTGAAATAGTACGACATACGTACGACTATGTCTAGTGTGAATCAAATTCAACAATTGGCTCACCTGTTCTAACCTACTTACTGTTTAAAAAATATACGACAAAATTTATGTTTTCGATTGGGGCTGTATGGCGGAGTGGATAAGTGCGGGACTAGTAACCATGAGAACCCAGGTTCAAAACCCCGTATTGTTAAAATTTTTTTTTCTAATTTTTTTATTATTTTATATGAGAGGTACATGTAATATTATTATCGCAAATATTCTGAATCATATTTTTTTAATACTTTTTTATTTAATTTCAGAATCTCAATGAAATGAAAATATTTATGTAAATGAAATATATTCACGTGTTCATTATATAAAACAAAACAAATTACATTAGAAGATAAATTGTACCATATGAAATAGAAGATTTATTATGCAGTATGTCCACATTATATATATAAGAGAAAATTATTAAAATTAAATTAGAGAAAAGAAGGAAT